TTAGAAATGGAATTTTAATTAAAATTGTCTTTGGACTGGTGGAGAGTGGGTAGGTTATATTTCATAACCTGTAAAATAGTTGAACTATGATAAGCCAACAAATCAAGAAAGAAGGAAAGTTATCCATTAAATTACTCAAGCTAAAATTTCTATGTCTGTTTAACTGATATCAGGTAACTTACTCATATTTATATCTTGGAATACATTTTCAATTTGCTTCTTTATGCTATATTTGGTTGAGCCACAACCTATGAACCAGGAGATCACAGTTCGATTCCTGGTTGGGGCACATACTTGGGTTACAGGCTCAGTTCCCATCTGTGCAGAAGGCAGCCAGTCAGTGATTCTCTCTCATCTTGATGTTTCTGTCACTCCTTCTCCTTTCCTCTCGGATATCAATAAAAATATATTAGAAACAAAAACCATTTATAGGTATATTTGAGGACTGTGTCCCATTTAGACTAATTAATTAATTAATTAATTATAAAAATTTAGATGATATATAAAATTTATGTGATAATATTGGCCTTGTTTTATAAATGTTGAAGCTGAATTCATTATGCTTTTTTTTTTTTAACATATTTTATTGATTTTTTACAGAGAGGAAGGGAGAGAGATAGAGAGCTGGAAACGTCGATGAGAAAGAAACATCGACCAGCTGCCTCTTGCACACGCCCCACCGGGGATGTTCCCACAACCAACGTACATGCCCCTGACAGGAATTGAACCTGGGATCTTTCAGTCCGCAGACCATCGCTCTATCACTGAGCCAAACCGGTTTCGGCTCATTATGCTTTTTAAAATATTTTTTTTTTATTGATTTCAGAGAGGCAGGCAGAGGGAGAGCGAGATAGAAACATCAATGATGAGAGAGAATCATTGATTGGCTGCCTCCTGCATGCCCCACACTGAGGATCAAGCCTACAACCTGGGCATGTGCCCTGACCAGGAATCGAACTGGGAATCAAACCGTGACCTTCTATTTCATAGGCTTACACTCAACCACTGAGCAATGATGGCTGGGCCATTATGCTTTTATTTTTCTACTTTTTCATACAATTAAAAAAACATATTTTTAGTGAGTTCAGAGAGGAAGGAGCGGGTGAGAGAGACAGAAACATCAATGATGAGAGAAAATCATTGATTGGCTGCTTCCTTCATGATCCCTACTGGGGATGGAACCCAAAACCCAGGCACATGCCCTGACCAGGAATCCACTCAGCGACCTTCTGATTCATAGGTTGACTCTCAGCCACTGAGCCACACCAGCTGGGGTTGCATCTAATTTTTTTAACGTTTCTGCCTTAATATTTTTGTTTATGACTGTATGAATATAATAGTAGAGGGAGTGAAGAGAGGAACATCAGGGTTCTGAAGCAAGGCTCTTTTACATTAAACTGGTTTTGTTCTGGCAGAGGGAAGGGCACCAGGTGTTTGACCTATGGGATCAGACCCGACCTGGGTTCAGCAACCTTGGTATTTGAGATCTGGCTAGGAAAGAATTCAGAGCCAAGATTCAAACTGTACAGAACATTTATTTGGTAAATCACAGAGGTAGAAAACAAGTGGTTGGGTAAAGGAAGGGCTTGGAGCTTAGATGTGAGGAAGACAATGGTAACACGTGGAGGGATAAAAGGGGAAAGGGGAAGGAGAGTGCTCTGAATTCTTCCTAAGGGTTTTAAGGGTGGAGATTTTAGGGGAGGTCCGAGGGGAAGCTTCAGCAGCTTTCCAGGTATGTCCTTTCAGGGTTATGGTCTCCATTGATTGATTGGTTAGCACTAAGGGTCATTATTCTATGCAGCTGTGGCTGGTTTTATTTTTCTTCTGGGTCTGAAACTGAAGCCCAGATGTTATCTCTAGGGAGGAAAGGCCAATGGGTCCAAACCACAATCAGTGATGTGCTGGTGGGACCTGGAGGCTAGCTAGGTCCCACCCTACAATTGTCCTTTGCTTGTCACTCAAGGCTTTCCACCTTGGTGACCTGGCCCATCCTCCTTGCTCTGCTCAGGTCTAACTGCATACCACAGTTTTTCCAAACATTAGTCCTAGAAACCATAAAATAACATCAGATTCTTATTTTGGTAAAACAAAACAAAAAGAGCTTACGGTTAAAGAAAAATAGGACAAAAAGACACCACCCTCTTCACCCCTCACCTTCACAATCTCCCCACCACACACACACACACACACACACACACACACACCAGGAACTAGATCAAAACATGCTACAAACTGAGGGAGCTATTTGTCAGATTACCTAAGAACTAATTTCTTTTTTAAAATACGTTTTTGTTGCTGTTGTTAATCCTCACCTGAGGATATTTTTCCATTGATTTTTATTTTCCATTGAGTGGAAGAAAGTGGGGGAGACAGAGAGAGAAAGAGACATCAATTGACTGCCTCCTGCACAAGCCCCAACTGGGCCAGGATCCAGGCAGCAGCCAAGGTATGAGGTTCTCAGAATCCAACCGGAAGCCCTTCAGTCTTAGGATCATTAATAAAACCTTGGCACTGGCTTTTAAGTATTTTTCTTCACTATTAACTCTTTTGTTTCTAGTTTTAATGAACATCCAGGATATTTTATTGGCTTAGATTCAGAAAATGAATATACCACTGAGTATACTTGTGAATAAGTCAGTTAAAATATTTGTGTATTTGTTGTCCCACTTCTTTTTTTTTTTTTTTTTAATATATTTTATTGATTTTTTACAGAGAGGGAAAGGGATAGAGAGTTAGAAACATCAATGAGAGAGAATCATTGATCAGCTGCCTCCTGCACACCCCCTACTGGGGATATGCCCGCAACCAAGGTACATGCCCTTGACTGGAATCGAACCCTGGACCTTTTAGTCCGCAGGCTGACACTCAATCCACTGAGCCATACTGGTTTAGGCTATTGTCCCACTTCTAAAATCAATATAGAGATTGTCATTTTCTATTGCAGATATTTGAAGATAAGCAATTATTTGGAAATTCCAAGGCTAAACCTTGAAATTATCTGTTTTCAGAAATTTGTTTATAGAATGTATTTTCCAAATACATATACTTGTTAGTGCCTTTGTTTCTTATCTTGATAATTTTATAGTAGAATTATTACATTAACCAAAGCAGAGGATAAGCTTTGTTTATGGAATTTTCTGGTAAATATATTTTAGTAGGGAGTATGTCTGGAATAAAAGAATATGTAGGTCTTATTTTGTTTAAGAAACATTGTTAGATATAATGGTCTTTCAGATTGGTCTGACAATTGTTCAGAATATGAACATTCACAGTGAATATAAACTATTAGTTTAAATATCAGACATCCAAAAGCAATATTGAAAGCAGTAAAAATAACCTAAAGCAGGGATCAGTAAACTTTTCTTGTGAAGGGCTAGATAGTAAATATTTTAGGCTTTGTGGGCTAATATGGCCCCTGTTGCCAAGATTCAGTCTGCTACTATAGTGCAAAAGCAGCCAGACAATACATAAATCATGTTTTAATAAAACTTTATTTAGAAAAACAAGCAGGGACCATAATTTGCCAGTAAGTTTTAGTTTAAAAACATACCAATATGGGAACTCTCCATAATTTCTGCTCAGTTTTTTTGTAAACTTAATACTGCTTAAAAAAAAAAAAAAGTTTTGTAATTTTTAAAAAACAAAATGAAAATAATTACTGAGCAATGATCAAAACCTCCATGGACTCTCTTGGGTTCACTGAGTAATAAATCCATTGGATGACTAAATCATAAGCATCAAATATCATATATGCTATCAGAGGTTCTCACATTGTTCAGTGTTACAGGGATCTTTTATAAGACCTATTTTATTCATTGATTAAAACAAAAACAAAAAATTGTGGCATGCTATTACCGCATTTGGTAACTTGAACACCCAGAAGACCTTTTTCAACACAGGGAATTTGAAGAAATTGCCGATTTAAATTATTTCCTTGGTGGAGTGGAAAATAATTCTGAACAATTTTAAATCATGAAGTTCTTCTCTTATTGATATGTTAATGACTTTGAATTTCCATCCTACATTATTTTTTTCCTATAAATATACCACAGAGCATGCTTTTGAATAAGTCACTTAAAATATTTATAATTATTAGCTGTAATATCTGTGTAACTCTTGCCAGTTCATTTGAAAAATTAATTTAGACTGATGTGTTGCATCTGAATTAGCTTTAGAAACTTAAATATGTACCTAATTTTTACTTTTTTATTGTGGAATATAATAAGAAAAGAACATAAAACAGAAATGTCCAGTTTAACAATTTATTCTAAAGCAAACATCAGCAGAACTACCGTGCAAGTCAAGAAATAGAGCATTGCCAGCACCTCAGATGTCTAATATGCTCCTTTCAAACTATCACTTCTCTTACCCCTAGGGCTTACATAATCCTGATTTTTATTGTATCCATTTCCTTACTTTTCTTTGTGGTTTTATCACCAAATATGCAGCTCTAAACAATATAACTTAATTTTACCTGTTTTTAAACTTTAAAAGTGGAATAATACAGTCTGAATTCTTCAGTGTGTGACTAATACTTTAATATGTATTCATGTTAGTCATTCACAATAAAAAATGGCCAGCTTAGACTGAAGTAATTGGATATTGAACTGTATTTGAGCCTGTCTTCAGTAAAACTGTTCGGTGAGTCACCTGTCACAACATGTTTGATGCCTTTTCCTGCCCTTGAACTGCATTTTTTATCATGCAGTACACTGTCACAGGTGCCTAATGACAATCATGGTGAGTGGTGAAAGGCAGAGCACTATGCATTGGAAACAGATTTCTCAATGTCTATGAGACCTTATATCATTCTGTAAATTTTATTGTTATAGGATTGACTGTTATATATTATAAAGATTCACTATCAGCATTTTAATAATGTTAATGTATATAAATAGTCGATACATATATGTACATATATATTTGTTTTTCTGACAGAGAAACACTTTAATTACCTAAAACATTTGATTTTATAGAAAAAAAAATACTTTGTTTTTCAGGTTAAACTGCCACCGATGATGGAAATCATAACTGCTGAACAGCTGATGGAATATTTAGGTTAGTGTTGAAAAGTGGATGATTTTATATCTCTTTTAAAACAAAGTGTTCAAAGCTAATATGTTATTAAGTCTGGTCAGTGTGGCTCAGTGATTTGGCGTTGACTCATGAACTGGGAGGTCATGATTCCATTTTTGATCAGGGCACCTGCCCAGGTTGTAGGCTCAATCCCTTGTAGGGGGCATAAGGAGGCAGCTGATCAATGGTTCTTTCATCATTGATATTTCTCTCTCCCTCTCCCTTCCTCTCTTTGAAATAAATAAAATAAAATAAAAACATAAAAAACATGTTATTAAATCTCATGTTCCAGAAGTACTATTATATAATCTATTTTAAAATTATAATTTTTAATCTCTTAATTATAATTAAGAAAAATATATATATATATATTTTATTGATTTCTCACAGAGAGGAAGGGAGAGGGATAGAGAGCCAGAAACATCAATGAGAGAGAGACATTGGTCAGCCGCCTCTTGCACGCTCCTCACTGGGGATGTGCCTGCAACCAAGGCACATGCCCTTGACTGGAATTGAACCCGGGACCTGTCAGTCTGCAGGCCGACGCTCTATCCACTGAGCCAAACCGGTCTCGGCTTAATTATAATTTTTTTTATCAGTATTCATTCTTCTTGGATGTTAAAGCCTTCTTTCTGACCAGGATTAAAATTCTATAATATTTTTATAAGGAGACTGAACAACATCTAGAAAACACAAGATATACATTAATTCCAATAAGTTGCACAATGATAAGTAGCACAGAAACTCTGATATTGTATATATTGTTTTTAAAAATACTGATTACACCCACCTGGTTTGGCTCAGTGGATAGAGTAGATAGAGCATTGGCCTGTGGACTGAAGAGTCAAGGGCACATACCTGGGTTGTGGGCTCAATCCCCAGTACAGGGCATGCGGGAGGCAGCCGATCAATGATTCTCTCACATCATTGATGTTCTATCTTTCCTCTCCCTTCCTCTCTGAACTTAATAAAAATATTAAAAATAAAAAATAAAAAATACTGCCCTGACCGGTTCGGCTCAGTGGATAGAGCGTCGGACTGAAAAGTCCCAGGTTCGATTCCAGTCAAGGGGATTTGCCTTGGTTGCGGGCACATCCCCAGTGGGGGGTGTGCAGGAGGTAGCTGATCGATGTTTCTAACTCTCTATACTTCTCCCTTCTTCTCTGTGAAAAATCAATAAAATATATAAAAAGTTTAAAAATAAAAAGTACTGATTATCTTTAAATAAAGACCCAGAGGGTGATTTAGAGCAGTTCTACCCAAAGTATGATTCATGGACCTATGCCAGAAATGTTAGCTATCAGTATGCAGTGAGATAGGGACTTGTGCCAATATGTAAAACATTTACAGTAGTAAACTCTCTGTTTAGTTTATCTGAAACTTTTTCATAGCAAAATTTTCTTGGTGAAGGAAGTAGTGTATTGAATTGCATTATTATGCAAGCCTCTTATTTCAAAACAGACCATCAATACACAGTTTACAGATCAGCTGCATTGAAGAGAACTTGTTTACAGAGCAGGTAGTTGTACATCACACTGAGATCTTTCCTGGTTTAACAAAGAAAAGTTTATATATTTATATCTACTATTACCAATTGGAAATCCTAGTCCATATTCTCACAATTTTTTTAGTAATTTTTTTTTAAATTGTCAGCTGATTACTTTGTCTTTGTCATTCCAGAAAACTAGCTAACTTTTTTTTTGTGAGATGTAGGGTCTGTGATGTAATTGAGATTGCAGCTTTTGGAAGACCCTTTTCTTTGTGTAATTAATATTTTATTTCATTACTAGAGGCCCGGTGCACAACGTTGTGCACTGGGGGCTGGTGTGCCCTCTTGCAGACATCCCCCAAGGGGTCTTTAATGCTGCCGTGGAGGCAAGAGAGGCTCCCACCATCACCGCTGCACTCAACAGCTGAGAGCCCATACAATGCCCAGTACAGGGCATGCAGGAGCTCCCCCTGTGGGAGTGCACTGACCACCAGGGGGCAGCTCCTGCATTGAGTGTCTGCCCCCTGGTGGTTAGAGTGCATCATAGCGACCATTCATTTCACCATTTGGTTGATTTTCATATTACACTTTTATTGCATAGGATATTTGCTGGCTAGGAAACGTCTTACATATGGGTAGATTACTTTGAATATCTAGATATCTAGAAATAAAATATCTATACTTTTTTAAGTCTAGCTTAGTGATTCCTAGACTTTGTGATTTCTAAATTATATTTAAGGGGGAGGCTAAAATATGTTTGTTGCTCTTGAGCAGCCAGTATGACTGCTGAGTAGTGTGTAAAGGGGAGTTAGTAGGAAATGAGAGAGAAGTAATAGGGTCGGATCATATAGGGCTCTGTGGACTATTATAACATTGACTTTAGCTGGGAGTAAGCTGGTCAGCCATTAGAGAATTTTGAACAGAGAACTGACATGATATGACTTGAGTTTAATAAGAATTCTCTGGCTGTGATGTTGAACTAGAACTTAGGGCCCTGGCCGGTTTGCTCAATAGTTAGAGGGTCAGCCCACGAACCTTCAATGAAGAGTGAGATATTAGCTGGATCAAATGCTATTATACAAGTAGTTCAAACAGGAAGAAGACTTTAAATTTGACCATTGACTGAGCCATAAGGAGGCCATTGATAACTTTGACAAGTAAATGCATGGGATGAAAACCTCCTTGGAATGAGTACAAGAGAAAACTGGAAATCCTCATATACAGCCAATAGGAAAGTAACAGCTCATTTTGTCTCAGAAAGTATGCAGACAAAAGCAATTAGAGGGTGTTAAAAGCAGGGAGACATTTGAAATATTAATATCATTTAAATGTTGGTTAGCAAAGCTTTGAGAAAACAGGCCACAGGGTAGAAATTTTTAATAGGGAAAAAGAAATATTAATGAAGAACTATCTAGATTTGGGGTATTTTAAGAGGTTTGAAAGTTTTGGGTGAGGGGGAATCAGCAACTAGGAGTAGCGTGAAAGCAATAGCCTAATGGGAGTTGTGGGGAAAGTGAGCAAGAGCAGTATGAGGAAAGAAATTCTGAAGAATTTGCCTCACCAAAAGTAAACTTTATTCAGGGCCAATCCTGCTAGGACAAATTGTTTAATTTTCTAAACGATTTTATTTTTTTCCTCTTGAGATTACTCTAGTTCCCTAGAGTAATTTCGAATTAATAAGCAAACACTTGTAGAAAAATTATAAGAGAAACTATTAATTGCTTTTCTAGCACCTAGCTGAGAAACCACACGGGAATGGGAATTTTGATTGGCATATGTTAGATGAGGAGTGAATTTTAATTTGGAAATTTCTTACTAGAATAGTAGAGCAAGGCTATACATGGGCAAGGTTTGTTGGAGAGCTTTGGCATAAAGAAATGAACAAGACAAGTAGAATACTTAGGAAGTGCTAGGAAGTCTAATAAAATAAGGTGAGGAAAAAGTGTAGGTGGAAAGTAGAAAATGGGTAGAAAAATAATGTATAAAAAAGTATTAATGCAAATTAGAATTTATATTGTAACTTTACTTATCTGAAATAGTTTGTGTGAGGATTAGACTAACATAGAGTGGCACTTATTAGATTTTATTTATTTATTTATTTATATATATTTTTTAAAATTTATTGATTTTTTACAGAGAGGAAGAGAGGGATAGAGAGTCAGAAACATCGATGAGAGAGAATCATCGACCAGCTGCCTCTTGCACACCCCCTACTGGGATGTGCCCGCAACCAAGGTACATGCCCTTGATCGGAATCGAACCCGGGACCCCTCAGTCCGCAGGCCAACGCTCTATCCACTGAGCCAAACCGGTGCCGGCCACTTATTATAACTATATTATACTTTATCATTATCTTATTCTGTTTCCTATGTTTGCCCAACCAAATTATTGGTGTTTTTTTAAAAAATATATTTTATTAATTTTTCACAGAGAGGAAGGGAGAAGGATAGAGAGTGAGAAACATCGATCAGCTACCTCCTGCACACTCCCCACTTGGTATGTGCCCACAACCAAGGTACATACCCTTGACCAGAATCGAACCTGGGACCCTTGAGTCCGCAGACCAATGCTCTATCCACTGAGCAAAACCGGCCAGGGCTTTTCTATTTCTTTCCAGCAAGAGTGGAAGGGAGGGAGTGAGGAAAAAAGAGAGAGGGGGAAACATCGATGTGAGAGAGACTGGTTGCTACTGGCTGCCTGCCACACATGCCCTGACCAGGGGCAGGGAGTGAACCCACAACCCATGTACATGTCTTTGACCAGACCCTTCAGTGTGCAGACCAATGCTCTAACCACTGAGCAAATCAGACAGCAACAAACTCTGCCTTTTAAAAATATCTGATTCTTACCGAGACCGGTTTGGCTCAGTGGATAGAGTGTCGGGCTGCGGACTGAAAGGTCCCAAATTCGATTCCGGTCAGGGGTATATACCTTGGTTGCGGGCACATCCCCAGTGGGGGGGGTGCGGGGGTGTGCAAGAGGCAGCTGGTCGATGTTTCTCTCTCAATGACGTTTCTAACTCTATCCCTCTCAATTTCCCTCTGGGTAAAATCAATAAAATATATTTTAAAAAAATAAAATGCTCTGAAATTAACAATAAATAAATAAAATATCTGATTCTTCACCCTAGCCTGTTTGGCCCAGTGGATAGAGTGTTGGCCGGTGGTTGAAAGGTCCTGGGTTCTATTCTGGTCACGTGCACATGCTTAAGTTGCAGGCTCAATCCCCAGTAGGGAGTGGGCAGGAGGCAGCCGATCAATGAATCTCTCTCATCACTTAATGTTTCTCTCTCTTTCTCCCTTTCCCTTTCTCTCTGAAATCAATAAAAAATAATAATAAGTAGAAATATCCAATTCTATCAAATGACATTTAGGATACAAATATAGCAATTACCGTATTTTTCGGACCATAAGACGCACCGGACCATAAGACGCACCAGTTTTTAGAGAAGGGAAATGAAGAAAAAAAGATTCTGAAACAAATAGTGTCCTCAAATATTTTATGTGCATTAAAACCCAACATCACAGTCATAAACACCTGTAATCAACCCTGTAAAGTAAACAGCAGCATTTAGAACCATTTTAGAGCCGGGCAAGCACACAGAGACCACACAGAGCCGGGCAAGTAAAAAAACTTTTTTTAAAAAATATATGTGTAGGCTATATTTGGACCATAAGACGCAGGGACTTTCCCCCCCCCACTTCTGGGGGGAAAAAGTGCGTCTTATGGTCCGAAAAATACGGTATGTTCTTAAATATGTCTATGTCTATGTGTGTGCCTATATATGTATTGTATATATATGTATATAGATATATATGTAGAGATACATAAATATGGTACATATTATATGGTCTCAGAAATATTTGTTATATAGACTTGCTTATATATCTCTGAAAGTCAATTCATTTAGTGCTTTTGGAGTTCTTGTACCTATGCAGAATAAAATATTTTGTAGATTTTTCTATCTTTTATTTTATTTATTTAAAGTTATCTATTTTTGAAAGTATAGATGTCCCCCTTTTTTCCCATTGACCCTTTCAACCCCACACCTATCTAGATTTTGCTATCCTAAAGTTCTAGTTAAGCCGAAACCGGTTGGCTCAGTGGTAGAGCGTTGGTCTGCAGACTGAAAGGTCCCAAGTTCGATTCCCATCAAGAGCATGTACCTTGGTTGCGGGCACATCCCCGGTAGGGGTGTGCAAGAGGCAGCTGGTAGATGTTTCTCTCTCATCGACATTTCTAGCTCTCTATCTCTCTCCCTTCCTCTCTGTAAAAAATTAATAAAATATATTATATAAAGTTCTAGTTAAAAGTACAACTAATAGCATGGCCAGTGTGGCTCAGTGGTTGAATGTTGACCAATGAACCAGGAGGTCACAGTTCCATTCCTAGTCAGAGTACATGCCTAGGTTGTAGGCTTGATCCCCAGTAGGGAGTGTGCAGGAGGCAGCAGATTGATGATTCTTTCTCATTATTAATGCTTTACCTATCTTTCTTTCTTCTCTTAAATCAATAAAATATATTTTGGGGGGAAAAATACAAATAATATATTAATGTTTGTAGGAGGTTTTTTTTAGTAGAGTTGGAAAGCTTAAGAGAGTACTTGATGCAACCTTTAGAAGTTTATTTTGAATTAGAAAATAAAGGTTGTATTATAAAAAATTTCATCAATTTGTTAGTGATTTGAGGGGCTAGGTGAGAAGCTGGTATTATATATAATTGTTTATATCAAAATAAACACCAGGTAAATTAAAGATTTAACATTAAAAAAGATAAATATAAAGTTATATGAAGAAGGCATATGTGAATGTTTGTATATTTTTTAAAAAATTTATTTTAGCCCTGGCCAGTTTGGCTCAGTGGATAGAGCATTGGCCTGGGAACTGAAGGGTCCCAGGTTCGATTCCGGTCAAGGGCATGTGTCTTGGTTGTGGGCACATCCCTGGTGGGAGTTGTGCAGGAGGCAGCTGATCGATGTTTCTCTCTCTATCCCTCTCCTTTCCTCTCTGTAAAAAATCAATAAAATATCGGGGGGGGGAATTTTTTTAGAGAGAGAAAGTAGGGGAGAGAGAGAAACATTGATGTGAGAAACATCCATCGGCTGCCACCCTCACATGCACAACCTGGTTATGTGTCCTGACTGGGAATCAAACCTACCGTCCACTAGTGTATGGGATGACTCTCCAACCGACTGAGCCACACTGGCCAAGGCTATGTTTGTACTTTTAAGATGTGAAGATCTTTCTACACATGATATCCAATCTATCTATTAATAGAGGAATTTGACCAAATTAAAATTAAATATTTCTGTAACACACAAACAATAGACAAAAAAGCATAAGCATAAAGTTAGAAGCCAATACCAAGTGCAAATATTTTCCACATATATAATAATAAATGTTCTAATTTCTCTAATTGAAAAAGAGCTTTTACAGTTCAATAAGAAGAAATAATACTTGTGTAGGCAGGCAATTAAAAGAAAAGGCGTATATATATTGTAGTTAATACATAATTAAAAAGACAAAACATAGATAAGGCACTGCAGATGAAGATGGAGCTACATATATTTAAAAGGTGCCACATATACCAAAAGTTACATATATATATATATATATATATAAAACAGGTGATACCAAGTAAAAATACATATATAAAATAGATCAATTTTTTAAATGCAAAAAATTTTTGTTTACTTCTCAGAATGGCGCAAACATTTAGAAGACTGATAACACCCATTCTTGGAAAGGTAATGGGGTAATAGTTATATTATTAATAACAGTGAAACTTGGTACAGCCATTTAGAGTTTTGTTGAAATACATGGGAAGATGCTCCACTATATTATAAACTGGAAGAAAGAGAAAGCTCAAAAGCATTAGAGTATGTAATTGAAAAAGCATATGAGACTACCCTGGCCAGTGTGGCTTGGTTAGAGAGTTGTCCCATAAACCGAAGGGTTGTGGGTTCGATTCTCAGTCAGGTCACATACCTAGGTTGTGGGATTGGGTTTGATCCCTGGTTGGGGTGCATCCAGGATGTGGGGGCTGATTTGCTGTTTTTCTCTCACTTTGATGTTTCTTTCTAAAATCATGCCGAGACCAGTTTGGCTCAATGGATAGAGCGTCGGCTTGGGGACTGAAGGGTCCCGGGTTCGATTCCGGTCAAGGGCATGTACCTTGGTTGTGGGCATATCCCCAGTAGGGGGTGTGCAAGATACAGCTGATCGATGACTCTCTCTCATCGATGTTTCTAACTCTCTATCTCTCTCCCTTCTTCTCTGTACAAAATCAATAAAACATTTTTTTTAAAAAATAAATAAATAAATAAGTAAGTAAGTAAGTAAAAAATAAAATCAATGGACATATCCTCAGGTGAGGATTAAAAATATACATCTCAGACTAATATCAATTTTCTTTTATTAGAATTAGAATTAGAATTAATTTTATGTCACATTGCTACAATTTAAAATTTAAATCTGATATTTTTAAAAGGCAACTTCACAATTTTTTTTTTTTACAGGAGATTACATGCTTGATGCAAAGCCAAAAGAAATTTCAGAAATTCAACGTTTAAATTATGAACAGGTAAAACAAACAATTTTTATTATATTAAAATATGTCATTTTTAATTTAAAGATATAAAACAGTCTCTGTTTTATATGAATACTAGAGGCCAGGTCATGAAATTTTTGGGTGCAGGGGGGGAGGGGTGTCCCTGCATCCTCTCCAATCTGGGACCCCTCAAGATATGTCTGACTGCCTGTTTAGGCCCAATCCTACAGGGAGGCAGTCAGACATCCCTCTCACAATCCAGGACTGCTGGCTTCCAACTGCTCGCCTGCCTGCCTTCCTGATTGCCCCTAACCACTTCTGCCTACCAGCCTGATCACCCTTTAACTACTCCCCTGCCGGCCTGATTGATGCCTAACTGCTCCTGCCAGCCCGATTGCCCCTAATTGCCCTCCCTGCCAACCTGGTCCCTCCCAACTGCCCTTCCCTTTCAGCCTGTTCCCCCTGGTAAAAAATAAATAAATAATTTAAAAAAATATATATATATATATATATATATATTTTTTTTTTACCAGAAATTATAATGTAAACTAAGAGCATGTTTTTCCCAGTTTTGCTTACACAAGGCAACATTGTATTTGTGTGTTTCTATGACAATTTTTAAAATGATTACAAGTCGATTTTTTTAAACATATTTTATTGATTTTTTACAGAGAGAAAGGGAGAGGGATAGAGAGATAGTAACAATAATGAGAGAGAAACATCAATCAGCTGCTTCCTGCACACTCCCTACTGGGTATGTGCCCGCAACCAAGGTGCATGCCCCTACCCGGAATCGAATCTGGGACCCTTGAGTCCGCAGGCTGACACTCTATCCACTGAGCCAAACAGGTTAGGGTGTCGTAACCATTTTTAAATGTATAATACAGTAATCCGAACTGTGTTCACGTTGTTTTGTAACAGATCTCTAGAACATTTTTATATTGTAAAACTGAAACTCTGTACCCATCAAACAATTCCTCAGCTCTCTTTCCCTCCAAATCCCAATCACCATCATTCTACTTTCTGTTTTCATGATTTTTACTACTGTGGATATTTCATTTAAGTAGAATAATGCAGAATTTGTTCTTTTGCAATGGCTTATTTTATTCAGCATAATGTCCTCAAGTTTCATCCATATTATAGCATATAATAGGATTTCCTTTTTTTTTTTTTAAAGCTGGATAATAGTCTATTGTATGTATATACATACCACATTTTCTTTACATATATGTCAATAGACATGTGGATTGTTTCTACCTTTTGGCTGTTGTAAATAATGCTGCATTGAACCTGGGTGTACAAATATCTCTTCAAGAAGCCGCTGTCAATTATTTTGGATATATATCTAAAAGTGGAAGAGGCCTTCTTTGACTAGAAACTTTTTTTTTTAAATATATTTTGTTAATTTTTTACAGAGAGGAAGAGAGAGGGATAGAGAGCTAGAAATGTTGATGAGAGAGAAACATCAACCAGCTGCCTCCTGCATACCCCCTACCAGCAATGTGCCCACAACCAATGTACGTGCCCTTGACCGGAATTGAACCTGGGACCTTTCAGTCTGCAGACCGACACTCTACCACTGAGCCAAACCGGTTTCTGCTGACTAGAAACTTTTATATTTAGGCTTCTTGGTCTAAAATTGGTCCCTCACCCCTGTCACTCTGTACATCCTTGTTCTGCTCAATTTTTCTTACCAATACTTGATATTATATTATGTATTTACTAATGGCCTGGTGCACGGATTCATGCACATTAAAAGAAAATTAATTAGAAGAAAGATTTGTGCAGTAATTACATTACTGCAAAAAATTACATGTCAAAATAGTATATATAATATAGTAGTATTATAAAATTAAAACGTGGGAAACAAGATGGCGGCATAGGTAAACACCTGAAATTGCTGCCTCGCACAACCACTTCAAAACTACAACTAAAAGACAAATGAACATTATCCAGAAGCACAGGAAGACTGGCTGAGAGGAAATTCTACGACTAAAAGGAAAGAGAAAAGCACACTGAGACTCAGAGGAACTGCAGAAGTAAAGTGCAGAGGCATGGAGGCGCGCACGGAAGGGGATGGCAACTTAGTACGTGCTTGTCTTTCCCAATCTGGAGGGAGACACAAGCTCCTGACTGCTCTGAACTCCAGTTCCAGGCAAAACTCTGGGGACCCAGACTCATACTGGGAGAAACTGGTTTATCTGGCGTCAGTTGGAACTCAAAGATGGCTTTCTCTCAGAGGTGCTTGCAGCAATTATCAAGAGACACTGAGACCCGTGGCCTCTTTGGACAGGGCTGATGATCAGCCATTGCTATTTTGCTCCGCTCTGTTGATTCCCTGAGACCTCACCCCACCCAAGCTGTGCACATGAGAGAGGCCCTTTAACTACTCCCCTGCCGGCCTGATTGATGCCTAACTGCTCCTGCCAGCCCGATTGCCCCAAATTGCCCTCCCTGCCAACCTGGTCCCTCCCAACTGCCCTTCCCTTTCAGCCTGTTCCCCCTGGTAAAAAATAAATTAATAATTTTATATATATATAAAAATTATTAATTTCTTTTACCAGAAATTAATATATATATATTAGAGGTTTTTGCATATGAATGGCCCGGTCCTTTGAAACCTAAAATTACCTAACAAGCTGCAGCTGAGTCAGACACCCTGAATATCCAAAAGAAGGTCCAAGTTCCCACAGCAGCTTGCGTAGCTTCACAGCTGGGCCTCATCTGGGCACCTACAAACCCCAAACAAAGAAGAGGAATCTGCAGATCTCTCTGTAGCTCCTGCTGGGTGGCCTCAGGCAGAGGCTAAATTAGCACCTCCATATTGGAGATCCAGGAGCCAGTGTGCCCAGGGATCAGAGTGGGACCATCCAGATTACAACTCCTCAGATCCATAAGAGACACACTCAGGGGGCAGACTAAGTGAGCACCAAAGCCCTTCTGAAGCAATTCTTGCCTCATAAGGGTGTCTCCAGCACAGAAGTTCTCCCATCATAGACACAGCTGATTCTCAGAGCCAATTGGCCTGGAAGCCAATTCCTCCCAGTGATATCAACAACAATCAAGGCTTAACTACAACAAGACTGTGCACACAGCCCATAAAGTGGTGCACCAAGAGTGTCCAACAGAGGTAACTGGGGAGACTGAGCCACTGGGCCCTATAGGACACCTAGCACACATGGCCACACTATCAACACAGGGAAGCAGCGAAAATGCAGAGACAAAGAAACAGGTTACAAATGACAGAAATGGAGGAAAGCAAATTACTGGATATAGAGTTCAAAACCACAGTTATAAAGTTTTTCAATAATTTTCTAGAAACCACCCATAAATTTAGTGAGACCCTGGAGGATTTGAAAAAGGACCAACTAGAAATTAAGCATACACTGACTAAAATAAAGAATAATATACAGCCAAAACCAGTTTGGCTTGGTAGATAGAGTGTTGGTCTGTGGACTGAAGGGTCCCAGGTTCAATTCCGGTCAAGGTCATGTACATTGGTTGTGGGCACATACCCAGCAGGGCTTGTGCAGGAGGCAGCTGGTCGATGTTTTTCTCTCATCGATGTTTCTGGCTATCCCTTTCCCTCTCTGTGGAAAATCAATAAAATATATGAAAAAATAAAAATAATGAAAGAATAATATACAGAGATCCAACAACAGACTAGAGGATCTCAAGTATCAAATCAAAGATTTGAAATGCAAAGAAGTAAAAAATACCCAACTGGAAAAGAAAAAAGAAAAAAGAAAAAACATGAAGATAGCTTAAGGAGCCTCTAAGACAACTTCAAGTGTACCAACATCCAAATTATGGGGGTACCAGAACAAGAGAGAGAGCAAGATATTGAAAACCTATTTGAAGAAATAATGACAGAAAACTTTCCCCCCTGGACTTTTAAGTCTGGTGAAAGAAACAGACAAGTCCAGGAAGTACACAGAACCCCAAACAAAAGGAATCCAAAGAGGACCACACCAAGACACATCATAATTAAAATGCCAAGGGCAAAAGACAAAGAGAGAATCTTGAAAGCAGCCAGAGAAAAACAGTTACCTGTGAGGGAGTACCATACGACTGTCAGCTGATTTCTCTATAGAAACTTTGCAAGCCAGACGGGAGTGGCAAGAATTATTCAAAGTGATGGAGAGCAAAAACCTACAACCAAGATTACTCTACCCAGCAAAACTATCATTCAGAATTGAAGGTCAGATAAAGAGTTTCATAGATAAGGCAAAGCTAAAGGACTTCATCACCACCAAATCAGTATTATATGAAATGCTGAAGAGTATACTTTAAGAAGAGGGAGAAGAAGAAAAAGGTAAAGATAAAAATTATGAACAACAGCCAAAACCAAACTGGTAAGAGTGTCAGCCTTTAGACTGAAGGGTCCCAGGTTTGATTCCTGTCAAGGGCATGTACCTTGGTTGCGGGCACATCCCCAGTGGGGGTTGTGCAGGAGGCAGCTGAATGATATTTCTCTCTCATCGATGTTTCTGACTCACTATCCCTCTCCCTTTCTCCCTGTGAAAAATCAATAAAATATATATTTTTTAAATAAAAATAAAACAAAATTCTTAAAAAAAAATTATGAACAACAAATACATATCAACAAGTGAATAAAAAATCTGATGAACAGAATAAACTGGTGAATATAATAGAATCAGGGGCATAGAAAGGAGTGGACTGACAATCCTCAGCAGGGAAAAGGGTGTGGGGGATGTGGGCAGAGACTGGATAAAAATCGTACACCTATGGATGAGGACAGTTGAGGGGGGGTAAGGGCAGAGGGTGGGATGGGAGCCAGGTGGAGGGAACCTATGGGGGGAGAAAAGAGGAACAACTGTAATAATCTGAATAAAGATTTACTTACGAAAATTAAGAAACGTGCGATTTGTACCAGTGAGAGCTTTATATCTATATATATCAGGCATGCATAAGTCAATGTTTATTTTTAAACTACCAGTGCATATCATAATCACTGGCTGGTCGGACGGATAGATGGTCTGTCAATTAGCCTTTTATATATATAGAATATATTTGTTTCTCACAGTAGCATTAATTGTATGAGATCAGGAATTTTGTCTATTTTATTTTACATACATATATTGTTTTTTAATCTTTACTGTTGAAAGTATTACATATGTTTCTTCCCCCTTAACCCTTTCTAGCTCACCATACCCCCACCCCAGGCCTTTACCACATTATTGTCTATGTTCATGGATTATATATATATATATATATATATATATATATATATATATATGCGCTTACCAGTTGATTGGTTGATCTCTTCCCACCCACCCACCCACTCACCGCACTTTCCCTCTGATATTTGACAGTCTGTTCTTGCTTCTATGTCTTTGAATCTATTTTGTACATCAGTTTATTTTGTTCATTAGATTCCATATATGAGTGAGACCATATTATATGTTTAAAACTCAGATTGGTGTCTGGCACATAGTACATATTAATAAAAATCAAAAATGGAAAATTAGAAGGAAATGTCCTTGCATTTAAATATCTTCTTTATTGCTATTTCCTTTTCTTATTGTTATCCTTTCCTTTTCTGTTTTCAGAATATGAGTGATGCTATGGCAGTCTTGCACAAATTACAGACAGGCTTGGATGTAAATGTGAAATTCACTGGTGTTCGAGTGTTTGAATATACACCAGAATGCATAGTATTTGATCTTCTTGATATTCCTTTATACCATGGATGGTTAGTGGACCCTCAGGTAAGTAGAAAATTTAAAATTTTATAAACACATATTTAGTAAAATGCTATTACTTTGGCAAATTAATTTGATTTATATTTTCTTATACTTTTTAAAGAGTTTTCTTTTTTATTTTTTTTAATCAGAGAGGAAGGAAGAGGGTGAGAGAGAGAGAAACATCAATAATGAGAGAATCATTGATCGGCTGCCTTTTGCATGCCCCACACTAGGGAAGAGCCCACAACCTGAACATGTGCTCTTGATTAGAATCAAATCTGGGACCTTTCAGTAGACAGGCCAAATGTTCTGTCCACTAAGGCAAACCGGCTAGGGCTGATACTTATATTTTTGTTTTTACCTGGAATGAGCCAAATTGAGAGGTTAAGGAAGTGATACTCCAGACTGTTAAACCTGCCTAAGCCCAAGAATTCTGAGTATCCCTTCAGGAAGTTAGGGGCCAACTCAATTAGGGCCATGCCAGCTAGGCTTTACTTGTGTTTTATGAACCTGACTATACATTCTTTTTACACAAATGAAATTTTAGATTTTAAGACTGAGTTTGTAAAGATGTCATTTCTCTTTAAGTTATAGTTTTAATACAATTTCAAGCAAAATCCCAGCAGATTTGTGGGAGCAGTTTTAGAATGTGAAATTTATATGAAAATACAAAGAGCTAGGAATAGAAGCCAAGATAGTCCTTTAAAAATAAAACTATGTTTTTATTGATTTTAGAGAGAGAAGGAAGGAGAAGGACAGAAAGATAGAGAAATATCAATGTGAGAAAGAAGCATCGATCAGTTGCCTCCTGCACACCCACTACTGGGGATCAAGCCCACAACTGGTCTTATGTCCTGAAAGGGAATTGAATCAGTCATTTGATGCATGGAAACGCTCAAACAACTGAGCCTCACCAGCTAGGGCAAAGCCAAGATATTCTTGAAGCAGAATAAGTAGGAACAACTTACTCTTCCAAATGCAAAATATTTTAAAGATTAAGAAAGACTGTGAATATATAGACAGAATTAGGGCACTGTAAGGTAACAGGGGAAAGGTAGTCCTTTCAATAAAAGGTGCTAAAACAATTAGATATGTAAATAGTTAGCCAGTTTGATAGCCAATTCAGATTTCTAATTAGATAGCCAATTAGAAAAAATGAAATTGTTTCCCCCAGATCACACTATATAATTATATTCCATGTGCACTTAACTTTTAATTATAAAAAAAATAAAATTATATAATTTGAGAATGTTCTTAACATTGATAATGAAAAGATTCTAAAACAAGACACAAATGTATTGATTATGAAGAACATAGGTGGCACATGAGTACATTAAAATTGAGAATTTGTATTTGTCTAAAGAAATTCCTAAGAGATTGCAAATGTAAGCCACAGGGTAGAAGATGATCGCAACTTACATTAGGATGAATATCCAGAAAGTATACCAGTAAAGTGCTCCTAGAGGTACTTTTTTAAAGGTAGGCCATCCAGTAAAAGAAGGAGCAAATGATTTTAACAGGCATTTCACAAGAATCTATATACAAGTGGCCAGTGAACATATGAACTAGCCGTCCAGGAAATGCAAATTAATACCAAAATGAGATACCACTCTACACATATCAGGATGGCTAAAAGTCTGACAATACAAAATGTTGGATCAGATATACATTGTATTCTCATTTTCTGCTGAAGTAATGTGAATTGGCTGTATACCTTGGAAAGTAGTTTCAAGTTATTATATCTAGTAAAATTGAGGATAGGATATCCTAATACTCAGAAATTTGAAAATGCGTATCCTAGAGAAATTCTTGATATGTGGAACAGTATAAATGTACAAGAATATTCCTAACTATTATTTGTTGTGGTCCCAACTGAAAACAACTTAGGTAGCCATCAAAAGATGAAATATTATCGAACAATGAAAAAGAACAGTTACATATAACTACCTAGCATATTATATATTTGACTATTTGCTTTATTGTTTGTGTTTGCTCCAGAATATAAACTTTATGAAAGCATAGAACATCTATTTTGTTCTCTGTTGCATCTGCAATTTCTCTAACAACACCTAATATATAGTAGTGTATAAAAGGCACCCAAATGAATTAATTGAATGAAATATTAATACAGGGATTCAGCCTATGAAAACTTGAAATTTTGTATTGTTCATTGTAGGTATATAGAGGTACAATTGATTTTTGTACATTGATCTGGTATTTGTTTTTCTAGTTGTATTTAATGAATTCCTTAGGGTTGAAAATTCAGGTTCTTTGGAAAGACAATGAAGTTGACTCATTAAAGAAATGCTCTAAACAGTACAAGTGTTAAGAAAAAGAATGAAGCCCTATCTGGTTTGGCTCAGTGGATAGAGTGTCAGCCTGCAGACTGAAGGGTCTCAGTTTTGATTCCAGTTAAGGGCACATTGCCCAGGTTGCAGACTCGATCCCCACTGTGGGTGTGCAGGAGGCAGCCGATCAATGATTCTCTCTCATCATTGATGTTTCTTTTATCCCTTCTCCCTTCATCTCTTCCTCTCTGGAGAAAATCAATAATATATATATATATATATATATATATATATATATATATATATATATATATGTGTGTGTGTGTGTGTGTGTGTGTGTGTGTGTGTGTGTGTGTGTGTGTGTTTTTAAAAAAAGAAAGAGAGCCGAAACCGGTTTAGCTCAGTGGTGGATCGTCGGTCTGTGGACTGAAAGGTCCGGGGTTCGATTCCGGTCAAGGGCATGTACATTGGTTCCGGGTACATCCCCGGTGGGGGGTGTGCAGGAGGCAGCTGGTCGATGTTTCTCTCTCATCGATGTTACTGGCTCTTTATCTCTCTCCCTTTCTCTCTGTAAAAAAATCAATAAAATATATATATTTTTTATAATAAAAGAAAAAAAGAAAAAGAATGAAAATCTAAAAGAATTGTGCCCTCAAATTGCTTCTTAAGCATTCAAATTTTCATTTTAAGTGAATCAAAGCTGGAAGTCATACTCTTTTGTGTGGTTTATGTAGACTCGTAGCCAAAAGATCCTCTTTCAAAGAATAGGCCTTATTTGACTCTACATTGAAAGACTGACAAGCGAATACATTTATGTGCTTTTAGTTAATATGAAATGTTTAAGATATGTATGTAACATTTTCCGTTATTCACTGCTTTAACTTTTTCAATTTACTGGTCTTCTCAACCAACCAATTCAGTTCCACTTGCATGGTTAAAAGGCTTTTACAAAACATGGTAGAATTTTGCAGGAATCCTATATAATAAAAGCCTAATATTCTAAATGTCCGGTCATCCATTCAACCAATCGAAGTGTAATATTCTAATGATATGCTAAGGCCATTCAACTGCTTGCTATGATGTGCATTGACCACCAGGGAGCAGACAGACTGGTCGACCAGTTAATATGATGTGCACTGACCACCAGGGGCAGACGGTCTGATGGTAGGGTAGCTTGCTGCTGGGGTCCAACTGATTGAGACTGAGTGAGTCAGGCCAAACATGCCCTAGAGCCCTCCTGTGTTTCCTCCCTGGCTGGCCAACCTCCTGTATCCCTCCCTGGGCCCAATTGTGCACCAGTGGTCCCTCAGCCTGTGGCCTGCACCCTTCGCAATTCGGGACCCCTTGGGGAATGTTGAAGAGACTATTTTGACCAGGCCTAGGGGATCTATTGGTGCACAAATTTGTGCATTGGGTTCCTAGTAAAATAAATAAATTATAACCTAGAGCAGAGCAGTTGTTCTCAAATTTTGCTATCTAGCAGTGGAATGGTCAATTGAGAAACAACTTGAGCCTGGAATTTTTTTAAATCTATCTATCTTTCTTTCTTTCTTTCTTTCTATCTATCTATCTATCTATCTATCTATTAATATCTATCTATCTATATCTATGTATATCTATATCTATATCTATATCTATATATATAAACTTATTTTATATATATATATATAAACTTATTTTATATATATATATATATATATATATATATATATATATATATATATATATAAAACTTATTATTTTTTTTTTTTTACAGAGAAGAAGAGAGAGGGATAGAGAGTTAGAAACATCGACCAGTTGCCTCCTGCACACCCCCTACTGGGGATGTGCCTGCAACCAATGTACATGCCCTTTACTGGAATTGAACCTTGGACCTTTCAGTCTGCAGGCTGATGCGCTATCCACTGAGCCAAACTCTTTTGGCTCTTAAATCTTTTTAAAAGATTAATTTTAGAGAGGGGAGGATGGGGTGGAGGAGAGAAAGAAACATAGATGTGAGAGAGATACATCAACTGGTTGTCTCTCACATGAGCCCCAACTGAAGTATGTGCCCTAACTGGAATCAAACCCATGACCTTCCAGTGCACTAATGACACTTCAACCAACTGAGCCACACTAGCCAGGGCCTAAATTTTTTTAATAAGCTTCTCAGTTTGGAAACTACTGTCCAGAATATTTCTTGTGCAGATATATATTAAGACTATGGTATTTAAAGAGTAAGTATTCAAGAAGATCATTTGGATGGTGATAGAAAGCATTGACCCTCTTATTTTTTATATCATTGTATTAATTTGTACTTGTTTTATTATGGACATATATTAATATAGTAGTACATGTAAATAATTTAAAAATATATTTTAGGGATGGGAGGGCAAACAAAATAAGTTGTTGACACAGCATAAATCTATTTTTCTTTAATAACCAAAGCAAAGTATAATAGAGAGTAGAGATGCCCAGTTTTATATTCCTATAACTTAAAATATTGAATTCATTTTTCTAGTCAATCTCCAAAGATAAATATTAAATAAGAATCATTAGGTAAAGGATTCAAGATGGCTGCACCCAGGTGAACACCTAGCCGCAGCCACACACAACAATTTCAATAAAAAACAACTAAAATATAAAACGGATATTGCCCAGAACTACAGAAAGGTTGACTGACTGGAAATTCTACAGCGAGAAGCAAGGAGAAAACCAGAAGGAGGCGCGGAGGAGCTGGAAAAGCCCAAGGTACGGAGACGCAATGCGTGCAGAGAGGACGGAGCCGGATAGGAGGGAGGCCGAGTGCCTGGCGGGCATTCCCTAGCGGAAAGGAGATAAAACTCCGACTGCACCAGACCCCGGGGACTCAGGCTCAGCCATAGGGAGCTGGGCTGTAAGGCGGAACCCGGGGAAGTGGCAAAAGGAGGTCCTGGCAGCGGCAGCGGCGCACACTGCGCGCAGAGAAGGGACAGTCGGCTGTGCCGCAGGATTGCCCTGACGGGAAGGAGACTGGGGCTCCAGACTGCTCTGAACACCACCTCCAACTCCACTTCCAACTGAACTGAACCCCAATATCAGGCTCATTGTGGGAGAGCATAGACTGTTTGGCAGCAGGCGAAAATTGAGGGCACCTTTCTCTCAGAGGCACCGGCAGCAGCGAGCACTGAAGGACCCGCATAGGGGGGGGCTGACGGAAGCCAAAGCTGCAGGCTCCACCCAGAAACCCCATCCCATCTGTAACTGCGAAATGCGACAACGAAATAGATTACAAACGAAAAAAATGGAGGACAAAAAGCGTCTGGATATAGAGTTCAAATCTACACTTATAAGGTTTTTCAAGAATTTCCTAGAAAAGATGGATAAGGCCTATGAGGATATGAAAAGAGATCAACTAGAATTAATAAGGAGTCATCAAGAAATGATAAGGGATCAACAAGAAATAAAGAATACATTGTCTGAAATAAAAAATATTTTACAGAGTCCTAAAAACAGAAGGGAAGATCACAAGAATCAAGTCAAAAATTTGGAACATAAAGATCCAGAAGACACTCCTCCACAGAAACTAGAAGGCAAGAGAATCCAGAAAATTGAAGATAATGTAAGAAACCTCTAGGACAACTTCAAGCGAACCAACATCAGAATTATGGGGGTCCCGGAAGATGAGAGAGAGCAAGATATCGAAAACATACTGAAAGAAATAGTTACAGAAAACTTCCCCCACCTGGTGAAAGAATTAGACTTACAAGTCCAGGAAGCGCACAGAACTCCAGACAAAAAGAATCCAAAAAAGACCACACCAAGACACATCATACTTAAAATTCCAAGAGCAAAAGACAAAGAGAGAATATTAAAAGAAGCAAGAGCAAAGAAGGTAGTTACCTATAAAGGAGCACCTATACGATTGTCAGCTGACTTCTCAACAGAAATCATGCAGGCCAGAAGGGAATGGCAAGAAATATTCAAGGTGATGAATAGTAAGAACCTACAGGCAAGGATAATCTATCCAGCAAAGCTATCACTCAGAATTGAAGGTCAGATAAAGAGCTTCACTAATAAAAAAAAGCTAAAGGAGTTCATCACCACCAAACCAGAATTATATGAACTGCTGAAGGGGGTTCTTTCAGAAGAGAAAGTAAACAAAGATAAAAATTATGAACAACAAATACGTGACTATCAACAAGTGAATCTAAAAACCAAGGAAATTAAAAAAAAAAATCTGATGAACAATAGTAACTGTTGAATATAATAGAATCAGAGGTATGGAAGGGGAGTGAACTGACGATTCTTGGGGAACAGGGGAGAGGGGGGCGTGGGAAGAGACTGAACATAAACTGTGCACCTATGGATGAAGACAATGGGGAGTGGGGAAAGGGCAGAAGGTGGGGTGGGAACCTGGTGGAGGAGAGCAATGGTGGGGGGGGGGGAAAGGAACATTTGTAATAATATGAACAATAAAAACTTATTTAAAAAAATAAAATAAAATAAAATAAAATAAATTAAAAAAAGAATCATTAGGTAAATACTGTCCTGATTAATATATCGATACATTAACTTTTCTTCAGGAAAATAAAGTTAGTTGTGTCTACTCATTTTCCCTATGCTTGGCTAGGAAGTAAATTCTATATAATAAAAGGCTAATATACAAATAGACCGAATGGGAGAACTACTGGTTGCTATGAAGTGCACTGACCACCAGGGGGCAGATGATCAATGAAGGAGCTGCCCTCTGGTGGTCAGTGCACTCACACAGGGGGAGCACTGTTGAGGCAGAATCCAGGCTCACAGCCAGCAAGTGCAGCGGCAGTGGTAGGAGCCTCTCCTGCCTCTGCAGCAGTGCTAAGGATGTCCGACTGCCAGCTGGGGAGTGGGCCTAAGTCATCAGTAGGACATCCCCTAAGGGCTCCCGGACTGCTAGAGGGTGCCAGCCAGGCTGAAGAGACCCCCCCTCCAGTGCACAAATTTCATGCACTGGGCCTCTAGTAATAAATAAAATGGAAAAACTTTCATCTCATGAATTAGCATCTTTATATTTGCCTTGCCTTAAAATGACAATATTTGTATTTTAGAAAAGAAAAAAAAAAAAACCTGAGCTTTTCTTATTTTTTTTCCTTAAATGGTTTATTTTTTTATTTTAATCACTTAAATGCATCTTTACAACCTTAAGAAATAATTTTGCATGTAATCCCATTTAATTATTTTTTGCTTAATTGAAATACAGCTGAGCAATATTTTTCTTTTTTTAAAATTATTTTTATAATATATTTATATTATAGCTGTAAACAAAACTGAAAACAGTTGGGTGTTAATTTTAGTGTTGATTTTTTTCATAAATAATTTGTATCTTTAGTATTGTATTAGAATAAAACCCTAAAGAGTGACCTTGGTTTCTTTGTTATTTTTAATCTTATCATGATTAGTAAGACAGTCATTTGTTTTCTAGATTGATGACATTGTAAAAGCTGTTGGTAACTGCAGCTACAACCAACTAGTGGAGAAGATCATCTCTTGTAAGCAGTCAGACAATAATGAGCTGGTTAGTGAAGGTGGGTGAGTGCTGCTATTACCTAATTTATTCTTGGCAAAATAAACTGTTTGATAATTTAAGATCTTTTAAATGTATTAAAACAGAAATGTTGCTACTTATAAGAATTAAGTAATTTTTCATAAAGGTGCCAGTGGAAGGTTTTTTCTAGAAACCTTTTCACTTGACTTGTACAATGAGGCCTGGATTTTAATAAAGGTCTTTAGAATCTCTTGTTAGTTTTTTGTGTGTTTTTTTAAAATATATTTTATTGATTTTTTTACAGAGTGGGAGGGAGAGAGATAGAGAGCCAGAAACATTGATGAGAGAGAAACATCGATCAGCTGCCTCCTGCACACCCCGACTGGGGTTGTGCCCGCAACCAATGTACCTCAATACATGCCCCTGACTGGAATCGAACCTGGGACCTTTCAGTCCACAGACCAACGCTCTATCCACTGAGCCAAACTGGTTTCAGCTCTTGTTAGTTTTTTTTAAATCCTCACCCGAAGATATTTTTCCATTGATTTCCTAGAGTGAGGGAAAGACAGAGAGAAATATCCATGTGAGAGAAACACATAAATTGGTTGCTTCCTGTCTGGGCCATGGAGGATCCTGCCCTTGACTGGAATCAACTCTGAGACCCTTTGGTCCACAAGCCAATTCTCTTATCCACTGAGCCAAACTGACTAGGGCTCTCTTGTTAGCTTTTATATGGTAAATTACTCAGGGGTAACTGATAATTGCTCTTTTTAAAAATGATGATTATTTGGGAGTACTATGTGAACCTTATAATTCATTCTGAATCCTTCAGTTGACTGAGTATCATGGTACTCAGTGTTCATTTTAGTAGAGCTCTGCCTTGTTTCAGTATAACATAGTATAGTAAAGCTCCATTCTTTTTTATTTTTTATTTTTTATTTTTTACTGATTTCAGAGAAGGGAGAGACAGAGAGAGAGAGAGAGAGAGAGAGAGAGAGGAGTGGGGGAGATAGAAACATCCATGATGAGAATCATTGATCAGCTGCCTCCAGCACGCCACCTACTGGAGATTGAGCCCGAAACCCAGGCATGTGTCCTTTTTTTAATTTTTTTTTTATTTAATATATTTTATTGATTTTACACAGAGAGAAATTGAGAGGGACAGAGAGTTAGAAATGTCGATGAGAGAGAAACATCAACCAGCTGCCTCTTGCACACCCCCCACTGGGGATGTGCCCGCAACCAAGGTACATGCCCTTGACCGGAATCGAACCTGGGACCCTTCAGTCCGCAGGCCGACGCTCTATCCACTGAGCCAAACTGGTCCCGGCTAGGCATGTGCCCTTGATTAGAATTGAACCCAGGACCTATTATTCTGCAGGCTGATGTTCTATCCACTGAAAAAACCAGCTAGGGCTAAAACTCCATTTTTAATCAAAGTATACCTTTGATCATTCAGTTATCCTAATCCTTAACTAATTAAAATTGCTAAATTTGTCACCATAGAAGTAATTTCATATTTTTCAGCTGTGTTTCAGTCATTGAAGAGAAGGAGAAGAATGCTGCCCAGAGTCATAGCGTTTGGATATACCTTCCCACCACCTACTTTACTTTTTTTAAGAAGTATTTTATTTTACTTTTTTTTAATATATATTATTAATTATTTACAGAAAAGAAGGAAGAGGGATAGAGTTAGAAACATCAATGAGAGAGAAACATCAGTCAGCTGCCTCTTGCACACCTCCTACTGGGGATGTGCCCACAACCAAGGTACATGCCCTTGACCAGAATTGAACCTGGGACCCTTCAGTCTATAGGCCTACGCTGTATCCATTGAGCAAAACTGGTTAGGGCTCACTTTTTCATAAATATGTTCAAATTCTGAGGTTGCGATTCTCCTTGCTTTGTAAGGAAACAAAAGGAAGAGAAATCATAAGTAGGGAGTGAGCTTCAGTTTTTTAAATATAGAATTCTTTTACATGTGGTATTCGGTATATATTATTATTATATAGATATACTAGGGGACATTGCAGGAAGATTACTGCAAGCAGCTGCCACAGTCGCTGCCCACCCCGCCCTGCCCCGCCCTGCCTGCACTTTCTGGCAACCACCTTGCTTTCCGCTTTTCCTCCCTCTTCTTTCTATGCTGTCTTCAGTCTTCACTCCTCCCTCCCTTCGTGTATGCAAACTAACCATCATCTTTGTTGGGTTAATTTGCATACTCTGATTGGTTATGGGCATAGTGAAGGTACAGTCAATTAGAATTTTTCTCTTTTATTAGTGTAGATTACTATTATAGTGTTTTATTTTATTTATTTATTTTTTTTTTAAAGATCTCACACATTTATTACTGAACCATCCTACTATTGCAAGAGGGGGGAAAAATCAACAGAGCAAAATCACAAGTCCATTAATTCTCCAATTAAAATGCTCCAACTGTCCAGACAATAGCATCTTTTCAATCATTTAAAAGTGTAGGCAACCTGGATACAGCATAAATATGTGAGTCATCTCTCATAAGTGAGTTCTCATAGGCCCAGTTTGGTTCTTCTCCAATGTCTCCTCTTCGAGTTGTACCTGATTATATTACAATTTTTCATCCGAATTCATTGGGGAATGGGCCGATTCTGCTTTTGTTTCTTGGCCAGGAACCTCTTAATCCTGAAAGACTTGTGGGAAGACATGGTGAGGGAGAGGCAAACGCGCGCACCTCGATGGCAGAGAAAGAGAGCTGTTATTGTGTTTTAAAAAAATGAAAACTAAATTATTATAAGAGTATATGAGAATATATAAAAGAAGACATGTACATGAATCCCATACTATAATGATTAATCAGAATCCAACTAATTTTATTATGCCATTATCCATAAGTTTAGCAAGAGGCAAGTAGCAAGAAAACACAGTATTTTAATTGAGGCTTATCTTAGTATTCTACTTGCATTAAACACATACGTAAATACACAAGGATATTGATCATTGTTTTGCATGACAGCTCTTTCATTACAACCTAAGGCAGCAAAGTTTAAATTTTAGGGGAAAGAGAAGGAACAAAATATTTGTTTAAAATATTTTCTTACACTGGCTGGTTTGGCTCAGTGGATAGAGCGTCAGCCTGTGGCCTGAGGGGTCCTGGGTTTGATTCTGGCCAGGGGCCACATACCCGGGTTGCAGGATTGATTCTCCCCAGTGGGAGACATACAGGAGGCAGCCAGTCAATGATTCTCTCTTATCATTGATGTTTCTGCCACTCTCCCTTTCTGAAATCAATAAAAAAAATATTAAAAACAAACAAACATTTTCTCTAGCTCTAGCTGGTTTGGCTCAGTGGGTAGAGCATTGGCCTGTGGACTGAAAGGTCCTGGGTTCAATTCCAGTCAAGGGCACATATCTCGGTTTCAGGCTTCTCCTTGGCCCAGACCCCTGCAGGAGGCAACCAATCAATGTGTCTCTCACGTCTATATTTCTCACTGTCTTTCCCTCTCTCTTCCACTCTCTCTAAAAATCAATGGAAAAATATCTTCAGGTAAGGATTAAGAGGAAAAAAAAGAAACAGAAGACAGATCGATAAATGACAATAAAACATAAAAAAAAACACAAATATTTTCTCACTAGAACTTACCCAAGCTCTATACACAAACAAATGCACAATAGCAACAAAAACCCCAGTGCCTTTTTCACTTCTTTTACTCAACCTGATGTTACAACTATAATAATTATTATTATTATTTCTCTGACATTGATTTCCCAGGATAATGAAAAACAATAGCTAATTTATATTGTGTTGATAACTTGAGAAGAACATCCTGTTAAAAACAAGGAAGTAATTATCTTCTTTAATGGTATAGAATTTTCGGGTAATATATACCAGAATTTTGGGTAATCTATATCATCACTTATTCATCATTTATTATATATATTTTATAGTGATGAAATTCTACATATTAGATTCCCATATCAAGGAAAGTTTTATATAGAATTCACTATAATTAAAAAACTTAACTAGTTTTTATTTATAAGAAACTACAAGTGTATAATCTACTAGAAATAATTGTTTAACTCCAATGGTTACTTGTATAAGGCACTAGAAATCTATAATAAAAGATGTCTAATTACACCGGACATCCTTCTGCACAACCTTCCGGATGAAGCTGGGGCTGCGAGGGAAGCCGGGGTCCCGGGTGCCAGAGGGAAGCCAGTGCCAGCAGCGGGGGAAGGAAGACCTACTCTTGCATGAGTTTTGTGCATCAGCCTCTAATATGTAATAAAAGGCCACAATAGACATTTTTACTTATAAGTAGCAATTAGCTTCCCTCCATTATTTTCTTTATCATATTTTCTTGGGTGTAATTTTCTACTGAAGTGGTAGTTTGCTCTCTTTTCTATTTGGCCTGCAACTATAACTTTTCTTTTGAACCAATAAAATATCCAAAAGGTGATTATATTTTAGATATAATGCCTGAACCCACACAAAAAAATTATTTTCCGACATTAGTGTTTGAAAATATCTCTTAGTTTCAGAAATTCAATACTAAATTAGTTTATCTAATTATTTTTCTTTATTACTAAAGAGCTACTAGAGAAGATGAAAGTAATGAGTGCCTTAAAGGATGTGAAGTTAAAGAGAGGGACAGTAAAATTAGGCAAAAAGGAACAAAAATAGGTAGTAAGGTAAAAAGAAACTTGGCTTATTTAAAAACAGTATGATCACATAAATCTTATAATTCATTATTTATTATATCAACCTAACACTTTTATAAACAGCATTTATTGTACAGAGTACTGAGAAAAGAAATACAGCCGTTCGTGTTCATTAATAACATTTGTTTTGTACTGCAATTATGAGAAGGTGGAATGTGTCTGGCACAAAAATAAATCCTATACTTACAAATTAGAAAAAGAGCAGTTTAAAAAAAAATTTTTTTTTACTTTTTTTGGTAGAAATATAAAATCTGTGGTTTAAGAGGAAGAAAGCAAACAAAATTAAAAGTCCAGTCAATTGTAGAGGTGGCTTTAACACCTATGTTTTGTTTCTTTCTTTTT